ACTTACAAATTTGAGTGGCTTGAGAGAATCATTCAAGGAACAAAAGCTATCTTTATGTTTTCAAAACCATACAAAAACCCAAGTATCTGAACAAGGATAGAGTGAGAAGATTTGAATCCAAGCTGTTCCATTTTTCAATTACTCAAGATATTTTGTTAGATACTTGGAAGTTCACACGTTCAGTTGAAGCTTCGAATAACTTGTATGCAGATTTTAAATCAAGGAGATGAACCCGCTTAGTCCTTAGAACTTTACTCAAGGGCGAGCAAAGAACTAAGTGTGGGGCAGCTTTGTTGGCGGTGCTTAACTCGTATTTCTACCACCAACATTTAAACAAAATAAATAAATTTGAATGCCAAAACTTAGAATTAGGGTTTATAACTCACATTTTCCACGAGTTTTGGTATATACATGTTTTGCAGGGCACAACTATGAAATACACATCAAAATACGCAATTAGGGAAAGTGCAAAGCCCATTCAGGCCAAGGAAGCTCAAGGCAGCCCATCCAACTCCAATTCTGGGCAGAATACCGACATAGAAATGGCCCAAGCCCACTCAAGAACCGACCACGCGAAGGCGGTGGCGAGGTGGGCCAGGCTTGGTGCGGCCGCACCCCTGGTGCAGGCGCACTGCCCTAGCTCCGCTCGACCACACCTTGCGCAGGTGGTTCATTCAATGCACTAGGAGGTCGGTTGCATGGGGGTCTTACCTAACACCGACCTTGAAAGGTCCTTGTTGGTTTTGGTAATTGAGTGACAACCTAGGTGGACTAATTGTGTTTATGTGAGATACACAGGTGATTAGTCCACAGGTACATGTGTATAAGCAACATATGCCATGGAGGTGAAAATGGCTTGGAGATGTTGCAAAGCTCACACATGTGATGATGAAGGAGCTTATTGCACATGAGACATGACATTGAGTCATGTGATCAAGGTGGAGAAGATCAAGACAAGACTTGGCTTGATGGACCGGTTGCAAGCGTGAAGGGCAAGTCAAAGGCTTTGGAGTGATGGACCGCGTGGCGGTGAAGCTTGAGCAAGACTTGGCGCCGATGGACGATGGCAATGGTGAAGAGCAAGTAGAGTCAAGATCGATGAACCAATATGATCATGTGATGATATGAAGTGGATCATATCATTGTTGATCGTGTTGGTGCATGTGTTGCATCGACATTGAAGGAGATGGAATGGAATGCGCAAGGCAAAGGTATAACCTAGGGCATTTCATTTCACCGGTCATAGGTGTGTAGAGAAGTTTATGACCGGGTTTAGGATAGATGGCCGTACTATCAAGAGGGGCAAACTTGTTTGCATATCGGTCATCTAGTGCCACTCGAGTGATCTAACTTTGCATTGTCGCTAGGATCGAGTGGCGTGGCAAGTTGAGTGGCTAACATCCTTTGGGAAATGATTGTGAAAATGCTAACACACATACACATGGTGGTGTACACTTGGTGGTGTTGGCACATTTATAAAGGAGGTGGTGTTTGCAGGGGTGAGATGGGTTTGGGTCCCTCTCTCCCTCCCGCCGAGCTTGCGAGGCGGGATTCGGCGCTTTCGGAAAAATAGAATGTCTATTTTCTATTGCGCCGGATGCAAGTTCTTGTGGTTAGCACATTGGAGCAAGGGTGATGAAGTTAGAAGTGAAAACGAGTTAGTCGCGAAGATGTTGGCGTCGGTCAACTGACCGGACGCTGGATCTGAATGCACCGGACGCTGGTAGGCTGCGTCCGGTCAGGCTGACGTACGATGACGCAGAAGCTGGAGCGTGACCGGACGCTGGCTGCATCCGATCAAGTGTGACCGGACGCGTCCGGTCGAGGTCGGTACCTTACTGGAAACGACCGGACGCTGGGGGTTCAGCGTCTGGTCAGTTGAAAGCTGCTACGTCCGGTCAAGTCAAGTGACCGTTGGAACCGGGGCACGTGGCCGTCTGTGGGCGACCGGACGCTGAGGTCCAGCGTCCGGTCAACACGACCGGAGCGTCCGGTCGGCCCGACCGTTGCCCAGTGAAGGGGTAACGGCTAGTTTAGCCCTTGGGGCTATAAATAGAAGTGGCCCTCAGCCATGGCTGGAGTTGAGCACCTCAAGGGACTTAGTGTCCATGCTTGTGAGTGCTTGGGAGCCCTCCATCACACATATATTTGATAGTGATCATTCGATTGTGTGAGTGAGCGATTCTAGTGCGATTGCATCGTGAGGTTGCATCGAGTGGCACTAGGTGGTCGTGTTGCAAGCCGGTGGTGCTTGTTACTCTTGGAGGTTGCCACCTCCTAGACGGCTTGGTGGTGGTCTCCGTCGAAGCCCGCAAGAAGCTTGTGCGGCGCTCCGGAGAAGTGCTTGTGAGGGGTACTTGTGCTCGCCCCGCGGGAGTCGCGAAGAGCAACTTTAGTAAAGCGTGTCATTGAGCTACCCTCACTCAAGGGGTAGGTTCTTGCGGTGCCCGACGTGCGGGCTTAGCGGGTGATGCTAATTAGCCGCCGAACCACCAAGTGAGCAGTCGACACAACGGGGACTAGCGTGTTGGCAAACACGTGAACCTCGGGAGAAAAATCATCGTGTCAACCTTGTTCTTCCCGTTGGTTTGCATCCCCATTACACAAGCTTGCAATTACTTATATATATATCTTAAGCTTGTGTAGTTGCTCTTGTAATTAGATAGCTTGTGTAGCTAGCTAATTACCTTCTTGCTTGTGTGGCATAGAAGTAGCTCCCTTGCGTGGCTAATTTGGTTTTAGTAACCTTGTTAGTCACATTGCTTAGTTTGTGTAGCTAAGTATTTGCGCTCTCTAATTAGGCATTGGTTGCCTTGTTATTGAACATTGCTAGTGAGCTTAGTTAGCTTTGTGCTTTTGCTTACTAGCATGTGTAGGAGCTCCCTTGTTACTTAAAGTACTAGTGGCATAGGTTTGTGTGACCTTGCTCCTAGAATTGTTTAGGAGAGCTCTAGCTAGCCCGGCACCTTAGTTGCTTTATTAGTATCTTTGCAAGGTGCTAGTGAACATATATAGAGGGGTGTAGTCTTGGCTAGACCGATTGTTTTAATTCCGCATTTATATCGGTTAGCCGACGCGATTAATTTTAGAAAAGACTATTCACCCCCCCTCTAGTCCGCCATCTCGACCCTTCAGACCTCCTCAAGCTATATAAGAAGACCACCTCTTCATTTGAAATAACACACAACAAGAGAGCAAGAAGAGAAGAAGGGCTTTATTCCTACCTAGGCTTTAGCTAGAATTAGAATAGGGAGTGAGTGAGCTAAGAGTTGGAGTACCGGAGTGTCGGCTACCTCTACTTCTTGTACTTGGCGACCCTTGTACATCAAGTGGATGGAGTGCCGGGGTTGTTGGCTCCCTCTACACTTGTACCTCAGCGTACCGAATACTACTTGAAGTATAAAGTTCATGTTTATCTTTGGTGTTGAGTTCTAAGAATTATCTTTGATCACTATATTCTTGCGGGTTCGTCGTCCGTTCTCGTGACGGATACTCTAGTAGAACGGCCCTGATAAAGACGGATAACCCTTGCATGCGCGCTAGAGTAATAGTCGATAGCATAGACGTGGTGTCTAGGCTAGAGGCTACCTTCGTTTACCTCGTTCCCTACGGTTGAGGGTAGGCAGCAGGTGGTGACAACCTTGTCTGTCCCTTGTAATCCCCCACGTTTGGGTTCGGCATAAATTTAAAAGCCGGAGGTACTTGGCAGACCAAGTATAAGCCGGTGCCCGAAGTAAGTCTATAGTGACAGAGCTATCTTAACTTAGGTTCTCTATCCTTAGGAAAACCTCACTACCCAAGCTATCTTTCTTCTTGTTACCTTGGTTGAACTAGCTAAGAGTCTTTACACATCCGTTCCTTTGGAAAAATACGATACCCTAAATACTTCCTGGTGAAATGCTATGACGGTATATCCGTGCGCTTGCGGATTCTTTCGCTTACGCTAAGAAATACCAACATGTGCCAGCCAGAGAGGTACCTATCGCAAGATTGAGACGAGGGGGAGGCAGTCATTGACAGAGAGCTTGTGGGGAGAGAGGGGGAGACCGAGGTAAGTTTGTGGAAAGAAAGAAACGGTGGTTCCAAAAATGGTAGCAAGCTCATGAGCAGCAGCATCAGAAATACCAATACGAAGGAAAGTGGTTTTGTGGTAGTTGATGGAGAGACCAGTAGCAAGCTCAAACATTTCCAGGACTTGTTTCGCCTGAAGGATGGAATCACGAGAACAATGAAGGAAAATAAGCGTATCATCTACATATTGAAGAAGGATCACTTGGAACCAGGGGGTGCCAAAGCGAGGAGGATATGCGAGGATGATGGAAGCAACGAAGAACATCAGCCACAATAATGAATAAATAGGGGGAGAGGGGATCGCCCTGCCGGAGGCCCTTACGGCAGTTAATCCATCGACCTGGAACGCCATTGAGTAACACAGAAGTTTTTCCGGTCTCAAGTAAACTAAGGATCCATGAGCACCACTTGTCAGAGAAGCCTCGGAACCGGAGGACTTGCATGAGACTATCCCACTGAACGGAGTCAAAAGCCTTACAAAAATCCAGCTTGAGGATGATAGTGGGAGCATTCCATTTGTAGCAGCAATAAAGGAGATCAGTGGCATAAGCAAAGCTTTCAGCAAGGCACCGGCCCAAGTACAAAACTAGATTGGTCCCCACTAACCAGAGATGGGATCAGCGGCTGCAAGCGGGTTGTGAGGACTTTTGAAATCCCTTTGATGGTGCAGTTTTGCAAAGCAATTGGCCGAAAATCAGAGGGGGAGCGAGCATTGTCTTTCTTAGGCAAAAGGACAAGGTAGGACCGGTTGATCCGATCAAGTTCAGCAGAGTGATGGTAAAAAAAGTCAAATAAGGCATAGATATCTGTGGAGGTGATACTCCAAGAGGATTTGAAAAAGGAAGGACCAAAACCATCTAGCCCAGGACTAGCGTTGGCATGCATTTGCCGGAAAGGCTAAAGAAATTTCAGAATTGGTGAAGGAAACATCAAGGCAATCTAAGGGTAGGGGTATTTTCTGGGTAGATGTCACTGAGCCGAAAATTCCAGGTAGTGAGATCGGGACAGCCAAGCAGATTCAGATAGAAAGAATAGAGAACTAGAGCTTTCTGGTTGTGACCCGTCAGATCAAAGCCATTGTGTTCTATAATTTGGATCTTGTTGCCACGCAAGCGTTGGTTGGCACAAGCATGAAAATACCTTGTGTTCTCATCTCCTTCAATGGCTGCCCGAACTTTACTCCGTTGTTTCCAGTGAGTCAGTTTAGCCTTCGTGACACGGCCCAGGATGCAGACTATAATGGAACGAAGGTTGAGTTCAGGTGTAGAAAAAGGGCGTATTTCCTCGATGTGATCCAAAATGTTAACAACCTGCTTGCAGTCCGTCTCTTGTTGCGCAATGCTGGGCCTATTTTTTCGCCACGCTCTGAGTTCAGCTCTGGTATTCTTCAGCTTGGCAGAGATGCTAGCAGCCGGGTTGGTGCCTTGACTCTGGGTAGTCCAGACACTGGAGATTAGATCACTAAAGCCGGCTGCATGAATCCAGTGATTTTCGAACCTGAAGACGGTTGATTTCGGAACTGACGTGGAGACTTCAATCTTAAGTGGCACATGATCAGAGGTGGTTCGAGTCATTGAAGATAGGACAGTGTTGGGAATATATTGTGCCTCCATAGCACCACAGTAGCCTCAAATAAACTTAGTATTCATAGTATGATTACTGATTTGTCTCGCTGTTCCATCTCAGACTTAGGTGTGCATTTCTGTGGCTCTGTGCCATGTATATCTGTTCACTTTTCAGGTTTGGGGTACCAGTACTCTGCTTCACCTGTCCATGTATGGAGCTGAGGAGAGAAGCAAAACATGGAAAATTTCAACCTGACAGGTCTTTTTTGGTCTAAGTTTTGCTGTGTCTTCCAGACGCATAATCAACAGACTGACAGACCAGACATAGTCTGCCTGCGGTGTTGCTGGAATAGAGACTGGTACTCTGTGTTTGGATACTCTGTTTCTAAATTCTAATGGCTGCCACCGACCTGTTGATTGTATAGAGAGGCTCAAAGCTCTGGGATCGGTCAATGCACATCGGCAGCCAAAGCTTGGTTCTTTTCGGGTATCCAACCCTGCAGGCATCAGCAAGAGCCAAGAGGGCAAGAGGTCAGCCAGCCATGGCGCAAGGAGCACAAAGCTCCATCGTCTGGACAATGGCTCGGCATGGCTATCTAAATTACAAATTCAAATGCCTGCCTCATTCAAGCTTTCCACGAATCACATATATCATGCGAACATGGAAAATCATCTGTTTCTGCAAAGTGCAAACGCACAGTAATCACTGCTTACATTAATAATTACGAGCATAATAACTCCCAGATAGAGTACAAAGGAGAAATTAAGCACAAGGGAAATCATCTGATGATTCAATAAAGTGTCTAAAGAACGATAATGCAGATATATAGATGCAACACATTATCCATAGGCAGGCTGACAGCACCTTAATTTCCCTCTAAATCCACAAGTATGTTAATGATTCATGTCATAGCCAGGTTTGCATGTGCGGCCCAACCAAAGATGAATATTAAGGGCCAATATCCTAGTACCATACTGGCTGTGATAACATATGCTGAATATACCCATGCCCAAATCAGCCCCTTCCTCGTGCGTAATGGTGGTAGTAGAAGAAGACGTCTCCAAATCAATTCCACATTCATATATAGCAGCACAAGAGAACTAAGGACACATGTGGCAACTGCACTCTTATGTGCCACCGGAGCTAGCACCACATATGCACCAAGTGCAAAGGCAGCTGTCAAGCTTGTAATCGAAATCGATACCAGGTAGGATGATATGACAAAGTGCATTTTGCGGCTCCGGGGGTTCAACAAAGGAGACCCAGAATGCATGAGACCCATGGTAGACATCGCGGAGAAAACAAAGGCCAACGTGTTGGACGCGATGAATGCATCAAAAGCATACCTTCGAGCAAGGATTGGTGTGCCTCCATTATTGTGATCATCAGCTATGTAACCTCCTGGGACAGCAAAAGTTGCGCCAAATGTCACGGTTGCTATTAGAACTGAACCAATACACAGAGCTCCCGTCGAGTCTTTCACCACCTCCATTTCTTTACTTTCATCATGTTTTACTGTCTTATCTTTCAAGTGATCATGGCGATGGGCACCCTTCACAGCATCGGCAATTCTGAGTGTGCGACATATTTGTACTTCACTGTTCTGCAAAAGCAAAACAAATAGAAGTTGAGCAGAAGCAAAATCTCAGTTTTGTTTGAAAATAAAATGAGCATATGGATTACCTTAGGATAGTAGAATCCATCTTCAGGAATCTTATATTCTGCTATATCTAATGGAGTCTCCCCTCTACTGTTTGGTAAATTTAATTTTACTTGTGGATTCGCCAATAGAGGACAAAACATTTGAAGGCTCCCTGCCTCGACAGCAAGGTGAAGTGCAGTGTTCCCATCGTTGTCTACCATATTCATAATCCATGATAGTGATAGATTTCTGCAGGCACTCCTGATTACACTCGCCTCCTTTTTCTCAACAGCAACATGCAGAAATGTCCTTCCCTTATCATCACACAGACCCGCGCTACCAGGGCATCTTTTAACAAACATGTCAACGTTACAGGAAGCACCTACAGAGGCAGCAACATGTATGGGAAAAAATCCGGAATAGTCTGGTTGATACATGGCATCGGGATTAGCTTCCAATACTTGCTGGCAAATGCTTGATGGCCTAAATAGAAGCTTTATAGCTGCGGCAAAATGAAGTGGAGTACTCCCATTTTCATCCCGTTGTGTGGTAAGGTCCTTATTTTGCGGGCAGAGGTGTGTTTCATTCCATTTTAACAATTTCGTAAGGTCTGCAAACACCATTCTTTTATTATCAGACTAATCAAGGTGAGAAAAAAACAACTATGCGAATAAAGGAATTATTAGTTGGAATACACTACCAGATCAAGGAAAGCACCAGATCAAGGAAAACTACGGTTTTCCTCAAAATATTATTTAGAAGAAACTGCCAATGAGTGTACCTAGCTAAATTTCAATTGCATTCCCAAGAGATCATGGACTTAAAAATCAATGAATTAGTCACTTTAACTCAAGACATCTTAAACTTTCAAAAAGGTCTAGTGGCGTTCTGTTATGTGTGCATTGCACCCCAACAAAAGATGCAGACCCTTTTTAGAAAGTAGTATTCCATTCCAAACTGTAAGTCATTTTGGCTTTTACATAGGGTTTTGCTATGTATCCAGGCATAACATATATCTAAGTGCATAGAAAAAGCTATGTGCCTAGAAAAGTAAAATGACTTCAATTTGGAATGAATCAGAGGAAGTAGGCACTTAGGTGGGTCTGACTTAACCGAGATCAAGCCCTTGCATTAAAACATAACGAGGTTCCATAGCTTGATATCTGCGGAACCGGTGAAATTCCACTATACTACCAACACAAAGAAAAGGCATCCAGACCCTTCCTTATGATCCATCCTTGTGTTAGGATTTCTCTAGGAATAATTACAGAATTTCAAAACTTATATGAACATATCTAGTAGCAGTGTAGCACAACGTTTTGTACAAATGTGCATAGATATACAGAGAGTGGCAAAACTATATATGGCAATGTTTCAAAATAAAGGATAAGTCAGTGAACCAAGTTTGTAAGTTGGAAAAAAGAAAGATGCATCTGTAGTGTACCTCGGGCTTGGTATCGGAGAACGGCAGCATGCAATGCATTCTGTCCGTTTGGTCCGGAGAAGGAAAGCTTTCCATGACTAGTCTTGTCATATAGTGTTTTCACAATTTCATCCTGTTTTAGCACGATGGCTAGGTACACAGGTGATGCACCGCCGTCTTGAGGAAAGCTGGCCAATTCTGAGTCCTTCCCCATGAGCAGGTCTACTATGTCCTTGTTCCCAACACGGACCGCCTCATGCAATGCTGTCTCCTTGTGCTTGTTTTCTTTCCGCAGCAGTTCCTTGATCATATCCTCACCTTCAGCGGAAGCAAGATCAATGAGGCAAGCAACCATGTTGGATTTCCCCGCCCGTACAGCGCAGTGCAGAGGGGTGTCACCCTTGTTGTTTTGCACAAAGAGGAGGTGCTTCGCTTTCCCGTAGATGATGCGAGCGCTCTCCAAGAAATTATCACCATCGCCGTAGCCGTAGGTGGTCAATGCATGGCGTTCAGCATGGGTTGGATGCCGCCTGTTGTTGTTTTGGTCCACAAGAAGGAGATGCTTCGCTTCTCTGGACCTAGTAAAGAAGTTATCTCCCTGACCAGAGGCGGCCACCACATGGAGCGCAGTGTCACCTTCAGCAGTGATCCCTTTCCCTTCCAGGATGGACTCATTTGCTTCTGCGTCACCGTAAGAGCTAACTCGCCGTGTAGTCAAGCTTCTCTCGGTGCTCTGGCCAGAGGATTGACCATCTTTCCTGTTGAAAAGAGCTTGCAGTTTCTCAGAAGAGCCGCTGGATGCCAGTGCTAGCAGATGGGGATCCATATTCCCCTGCTGCTTCGCCATGGCCTCCACCACCACCATCTTCGAATATTGTTCCTGCTTGTTCACCAGATCCTTCAACTGCTGAACATCGCCACTGCCTGTGGCCACCATCAGCTTGGCGTCCATAGCAGCTACCGGAGCATTTGCTTGCTGTTCAGTGGGCGAGGCAACAGTTCCTTCCGCTCCACTGCTCGATGATGTGTCCAACTAGGAGGCAGGGTTTTCTTTTCCTATAGGGAAAAAAAAAAACAGAGTTCAGCTTTAAATGGGATCCTATCGGATTCTAAAAGAAAGAAAGAAAAAATAATAAAAGAACAGTGTGCACCGATGAATTATGCATCTCTTTCTACTTTCTAGCAAAATGGTTCCAATAACTTCCATGCATCCACGCAGGGACAGCTCTAACTGTGGTAGAGGCTAGAGGGCAGGCAGCTATGTGGTGGTAGTAGTAGACTAGTAGTAGTATGACGACGACTGACCTGCACCAGGGCTCATGGAGCGAACTGAATTGAGGTTGCTGCTCAAGTGCAGAGAGAAATTAAGGGAAGGAAGGATTCAGAGACTTGGCAATTGCACTGTTTGTTGGGTTTGGCTCCTCAACGAGTCCTCAAGTCAACTAGTGGAACAAAATCATATTATAGATAGATAAATAAATAAAAAATATTAATGGCCGACGCAGGCTCAGAATTACTATATTATACCTGATCAATCAGAGATCATCAGCCGGGTCGGGTCGAGCGAGACAAAACCCGACATTCCTTTTGCTGTCCCGTGGGACGGCCTGCCGATGCCTCCCTCTCCCAGACCCAGTCCCACCGCTGCTGCCGTCTCGTCGTCTCCCCTCCTCCGCTTCCGCTTGTAGATGCTCGGGAGGCATTGTTGAAGGTGGGGCCGACTCCCGTAACGTTTCCCCGTCTTCCGCGAGGGGCGCCGGCGCCGGCGCATAGATGGGGAGCCGAGGCCGGCACCTGGCAGCATACTGGCACGCATCGCACGCCCTCCCTCGAATCGGGATCTGGCAGGTGGCCACGGCCGCCTTGCCTCGGCGGCTCAAGGCCTTGCGGGCGGCGCCGGAGAGGAGAGCGTCGGTCGGTCAGGTAGTGGAGGAGGTCTGGAGGAGCGCGATGGCTGGGTCCTGCCCGCCTGGGGCATCCGGCGCAAGCGGAGGTGCCGCCGACGAGCGCTGACGGCGCTGCTGCGCTATCGAGAAGAATGGCAAGGATGGAGACAACATCTAGGTGGGCTGGGGCTGGACCGCTGGAGTGGGAAAGCCCGCCGGTGGCTTGGGCCTCAGGAGTAAATATTTGGCGACGTGGAGCCCAAGGGTGGCTCGGCCCGTCGACCAGGCCCAGGCCAGCCACACCTAGACCCAGAGAGCATATGTGCTCGTGTTTGATTTCACGTACCAGTATAGCCTGGCCCTATCAAGCCTTTGTTTGATTTACCTCTTGGAGCCAGACCTATAACCAACTAACTCTAACTACCCGTTGGAGATTATGTTTCATATGGGCCTGGCTCACCAAGTCCTAGGAAGCAACATAAAAATGCACAAGTAATTTGCAAATGAACCACAACATACCTTTATGAAAACAAATATGTAAAAGACAGTTACAACAATATAAACTACACAATAGTGACAATCAGATGGCCTCAGACTAAATATAATTAATGGTTCATATAATCCTAGCTGCCTTAGCAGAACAAAACACAAGGCCTCAGACCAGCTGTCATTTGGAAACAAGGGTCCAATAGCATATATCATCGACATGGAGAACATCCAACAACCAGATAGGCCATCGACATGGTAACAAGGCAACCAACAGTGATAGAAATGGATTAGAGAAATACAAAGAAACTGAGGTAGCTAATCCATCATCTTTTCTTAGTCATCACAGGCCTAAGTATGGCAGTTGCACCGTCAAGTCGTGCTCACCCTTATCCATAGTCCAATCACCACAATAAGCAGTGAGATGATTACCACATTTTTTCAACAACAAAACTTACCATCAACAGGAGAAATACCTTGACAATAGTGGGGCTGACAGCTTCACCACTGTACTCCCTAAGTGCCTTAGCTACAAAGTTGACATCCTTATCCTTGAAGCACTTGTCAGTCCTACTGCCATTAGAGACTATCTAGGACATCTTCCTAAGGACAAACCCTGAGGTGTTGTTATTCCACCTCATGGGGGGGCTAGCACCACCAGCACCCCCCTAGGCAGGGCCTGCCTCAGGTGCATCAGCCCCAACATCCACATCCTCATGTGCAGCAACAGGACCAGCTGGCCCAGCACCAGCCATAGAGCCATGTCAGCAGCTACCACAAACCCAGCCATCCTAATAAGGTCACCATCTATGACATGAAGGCAAATATCAACAACAGATAGAAGATGAACAACAGGTACAAGATGAACAAGACATAGAAGATGAACAACAGATAATAGATGTACAATAGGTTGGTCTTAGTCATGTCCATTAGTTATTACACATGATCAGTACACCACATGAGTTACATATCTAGGGTGTTGATAGAATATCATCGGCAGTCCTCCGAGGGGTATCCCACGAAGGTAGATTGATCGGCAGAGATGCGTGTAATCGAGAACAAGAAGGCAACAGAGACACACGAGTTAGACAGATTCAGGCCATCAGTATGACGTAATACCCTACTCCTGTGGTCTGTTGGATTGTATTGGCTATCGTATGATATTACGTGTGTTTGGAGAGGTCCCTGTCCGCCTTATATAGTCCGAGGGCAGGGTTACAAGTCGATTAGATCTAGAAGATAACCGGAAAGTAATAACAGATTACAGGAATCATGGGATCATACGTATCCAAACAGATCTCGTAGTATCTTCAGGATATCTTCTCGGTGTCTTGCGGGATGTGCCGAGCAGCACCGTGCCCCACAAGGCTTCGTCTTGTGGGCTGGGCCATCCCTGGGGGCACAGCCCATGTGGTATGCCATGGGTATCCAAGGTCGTACCCCCCCACAGCTAGTGCCTGAGAGCTTTGTATCCGTTGTGCAATGCCGTCTTGAGCTTGTCCGAGCAGTTGTAAACAAAGCCGAGCAGTCAAACTCATGGTCCGACCACCGTAATGAGTTGCCGAGCAGTTGTGAACCGTCGCCGAGCAGCGTGAACCGTCGCCGAGCAGTGTGAACCGTCGCCGAGCAATGTGAACCATCGTCGAGCAGCGTGAACCGTCGCTGAGCAGTGTGAACCGTCATTGAGCAGTGTATCCCAAGTAAGGCTTGCCATAAGGATGTAAGGAGCTCAAGTTCAAAATCGAAAATTTCCTCACAGGGGACCAAGTGTGCCCACTTAGAGTCCGACCACGAGAAAGGGAGATAGTCTTCTTCAACTTCAGGAGGCGTGGAGTCTTCTAGATTAAAGCAAACACACTCACCGCAAGGTGAAGTGTGCCCACTTAGTCCCCGATCCTGACAGAAGGTGATGTAATCACGTGGTGCCAGGATCCAAAGTAGAAGAAAAGAAGAAGACCAATCGAGCAGGCAGCCAGTCCCTAGGTGTAGCCCCAAGATGAGAAAAACATACATTCACCGCAAGGTGAAGTATGCCCACTTAGTCCCCGAGCCTGATAGTAGGTGACGTAGTCATGTGGTGCCAGGGTTAGAAACAAAAGCAACCAGAAGAAAGTCCCCAATGTGGTGAGGAACCAAGTCATAGTGATCACGTAGTCCCCGAGCCACAAGTGGAAATATCGGAGAAACCAAACCGTGGAGAAAAAACCGGAGTAATGGTTGTACAGTAGCGGTTACTGAGCCTTAATTGATGGCGGAGATGTCGGTGAATATTTGGTAAGAAGTAACAAATTGCAATGATAAATGGACGTTATGGGCTTGCAGTCGCGCGACAGCCCAGGTAACGGCCCATTATACCACTTTGGAGAATTCTGAGAGGCGCAAATCATGGAGCGGGTTTCCCAAAACCCTTAAATGCGAAGAGTGGGGGAAGTGCTTTATAACTACGCCGTCGTAGTCCGCGCTCCCACCTTTGTCACTTTGTCATTTCATCTTCCTCCTCAGCCCTCGCGCTTCCTGATTCATATTCACACGTGCATCCGCCACCAATCCCAAACCAGATCTGAGAGATGGCACCGAAGAAGGGAGCTGTGAACCCGAAGAAGGCGAGCGTCGGAGTCAACCGTGATGATGAGTGGGTGGCGTCACACATGGGGGAGGCAGAGCTCAATAGGATGGTGGAGGCGGGCGTTCTCCCAGACCGTGTCACTGTCGGATGGCGGCCAGCCAGCGGTGAGCCCTACCCAATGCCTCATACCAACGAAGCTGTAGTATTTGAGGATTACTTCTGGCGTGGGTTAGGATTTTCTATTCATCCTTTCTTGAGGGATCTGCTGGAGTTCTGGAGAGTCAGTCTGTGCAACCTCCACCCAAACACCATCTTGCACATCTCGATTTTCATTCATTTCTGTGAGGCATATCTCGGGATTCTTCCCCACTTCAACCTCTTTCGTCATCTATTCTGGCTAAAGAAGGGTGGCAGCGGTTCCAAGGTGCTCGACGGTGTTTATCTGCAACTCCACGATAGGATGGCAGGCGAGTACCTCACTGTACCGCTGAACACGTCGCTAAAGGGGTGGAACGCCAGGTGGTTCTACATGAAGCAGAGCCATCCTGCCATCTGTTGTGACGTCGACCACATCCTGGAGAGCCAGAGGAGCTGGTCGGAGAAGCCAAGCAGTGCTGACATAGAGCAGGTGAGGGAGCTCCTCAGCCTGATAAAGGGCGTAAAGACGAATAGCGGACTGGTGGCGACGAGCTTCATAGTGCGCCACGTCCAACCCTACAAGGAGAGGGCCCACACGGGCTTTGACTTCAAGGGGGACACCGATGGCACCCGAGAGAGGATGGAGATGCTATTGAGGGATGATGTGCTAGAGCGAGCCACAGAGCTATTCGCTCCATTTGCCTCATTCAGCGTGTCAGGGCAGACCAAGCCCTTCAACTACACGAATCCACCTCCTTAGGTAAAAGTCTCAACTGTTTGCTCCCGGTGCCTTTTATCCTATTGCCGAGCAGTGAACTGATTCTCTTGTGGAAAGATCCATTCACAGGAACGAGCGGTGTACTTCTCAGGCGTGCCGAGGGGCGATTGGCCGTAGGTAGTAGACGCCCGACCCTCGACTCAGCCTGAGGAAGGTGCTGTCAGAGAAAGTCCTCCCCCGGTGTCGAAGAAAGTCCGGGGAAAGAGGGCAGTGGCAGATGAGCTAGCCTGGTAGAAGAGGAAGATGGTGGGTGCCGCTCCCCACAAGCCGGGCAACATCTCGCTTGGCGGTAACCGGACCACTCGGATGCAAAGTGCGACGATGTCCGAGTGGTCGAATGACGATGGGGCTCTAGTAGCTCCTCCTCCGAGCACTGAAGCGCCTCCGCGCAATACGCACACGGGGGAGCAATTGAAGGGAGGGGAGGGAGTCCCCAATCTGTAGGCGAAGGGAGTCCCCGAGTAGCAGGCGAGGGGAGTCCCAGAGCAACAGGCGGAGGAGAGGCCGACGGTGGAGACCGTGGGACCTCCAACCCCGGGTATGGGAGTCAACCCCAAGGGCATGCTTGGGGCTTGGGTAGGTAGCGCCGGTTTAGAAAAGTGTACCGGCAGGCCGACACGTAAGTATCCTTGCCTTGGAGTTATTTTGTTGTCATATCCTTATCTCTTTTGGCGATTGATGAGCTAATCTGATGTAGAGCGAGGCGTATTTTGCATGTGTCAATATGATGTGGATGTCGCTTATGAGGGAAGGAAGGACATCAATGACATGAAGAGGTAGCTAGGACTTGAGGTTAGAGAGATTCTGCTGCCGCCAGTGTTTCCACCTTATGAGGACAATAGTGAGGATGATGAAGAGATGGAGTATCCTCATGATCAGGAGATGCTTGGTAAGAGGATGAACATCCTTAGATGTGAGAGAGGACAGTCCAGGCTATAGAGGCACATAGCTACTACACACAGGGCCAGCAGGGCTGTTGTGAGTGATAGTGACGAGGAGTCTGGTGAGAGGACTATTTCTGGTAGCAGGCAGCAGACCGACCCGGCAGATGATGATCACAGTGACTGGAGCAGGGAATAGTGAGACGACTGTACTTTACCTCTCTTGTTCTTTCCCTTTTTGGCATCTATTGACAAAGGGGGAGAGAGGCAAGATTGAGATGGTTCTTTTGTGTTGTCGTTGTCTTTCGTTGGTAGTTGACGTTGTGAGTTGACATTGTGAGTTGTGAGAGTCGAGGTCTTTTTCAACTCTCTTTCTATCTTAGTGGTCTATAATAATACTTTGATTCGCCTCTATGAGGCGATTGGTGGTCATGGACATGGATATGTGAATTTTATGTGAAATGAAATGCTAGAACTGTGGTAAAACTTCTTCATATTCATAAGTCTCTAGCATTCCATAACTGTGTGATGTGTATGTGTGTGTGTGTGTGATGCTTTCTGTTCTGATTAGAAGATTCTAACCGTGCAGAACGCGGAGGCTCCGCGGTCTGCAGACCCAGGATATTTTTTTGTGCATAAACTGTCATATGCATCACTGATTATTATTTGACACACTTCTTTTACACCCCACGATGGCATGAATACAATGTATCTTTCACACTTACTCTTAATATATGCAGAGTATGTCTTGAAGGACATTTTTTTATAATTTCAAACAAATCTTGCATATATTAAGGGGGAGCCCTTGTATTCTTGCTATGAAAAACTCAATCTTTCAATTAAATGTAAGCTTTAATTGCGTTGTCAACATTTACCAAAAAGGAGGAGATTATAAGTGAAATCAAGCTCTAAGTAGGTTTTGGTGACGTTGACCACATAATTAAAGGACTAATGGCTTTGACAAGTGTTTGACAGAATATCTTTAATCGTGGATGCATAGAAACAAAGGAGGAGATTCCCCAACTTGAATCGATGGCTTGCAATGGCTCGAAGAGCGATGTTAATTCATTTTATATTTTGAAATTGAGTCATAGGACAAGCCGTACTATCAAGGGGGATACTAATGGTGTGCTGGGTGGAACCAAGTGCTCAAAACTCCATCTTCAACTCAAATAATCCCAGTCATAAAAAGCTAGCCGAGCTGAATTCTTATCTACTCTGGCCTACGCGGAACCTCCGCGCTCAGTCGCAGAACCTCCGTCGCGCGGAACCTTCGCGCTCAAACACGGAGGCTCCAAGGTCTGTATGACCAGACCATTTTATGGGAGACGTGGGTGGTATTTATACCATACCTCTTCGCCCCCAACGGTCATCTTCTTCCTCATTCACTCAGACTCGAACGGAAGCTCTCTCTCTCTCTCTCTCCCAAGCTTGGTGCTCCCAACTCCCTTGCTCAAATCTTTGTGATTCCTTGAGGGATTTGGCTCTAGAGAGTGTGAGAAAGCTCGAGAAGATCCCTCTCCTCCGGTCTTGTGCACTTGGTGAAGCTCTAGCCGCTTGGTGTGTTCGTTACTCTTGGAGCTTGGCTCCTAGACGGCTAGCGGTCGCCCGGTAGCTCCCAATCCGATGTGGTTGAGCACCGGAAAGTTTGTATTACCCTTTATGACTTAGTGGAACCCTCTAACCTATTGCCTTGGTGATAGGTTGGAGAAGAGGAACGAGTTGAAAGAGACTCCATAGCCTTTGTGGCTAACCTCAACAACGTGGATGTAAACAAGCCTTTGTGGCGAGTAGAACCACGGGATAAATCCTTATGTTCACTATGATTGATGTTGTTGTTGCTATTACTTGTGATTTGGATTGATTTTTAGTGTTTGCATCCGATCTACGAATTCCTCATCTTCTAGGTGCAACCGACTATTTGGATTGGTCAACATACTCCCTAGGAAGGCTGGCATTACATTCGATCTATTTTTCATTCGTTAAATTCCACAGTAGATCGATTTCATACTCTGATCCCCGGAGGTTCTACGCTCAGTCCTGGAACCTCCGCACTCAAACCCGGAGGTTCCGCGTTCTGACTGTTTTCATAAGTTGATTAAATTTGAGAAAAAAACCTATTCACCCTCTCTAGGCCACTTGCTAGATCATTTGAGCCTTTCATGTGTCCAAGGCTTAGATAAAGCCTTTAATTAAACTAAAAATCTGTTAGTATTTCTGTTGTGGTATCAAACTATTTTTGCCATTTCCAGCGGCAAAAATATTTGGACAAGTCTGGGAATCATACAACAAGATCAATGTATAGGATGTTATCTTTTAGGGGTATTATTACCGATAAAAGGACGATGAAATTATAGAAGAGGAACTTCCTAAAAAAATTAAGGTCTTCATCTGGTTAGCGGTCCAGGATAGACTTCAAACTGGGGCTAACCTCAAAAGGAGGAAATGGAGAGGAAACAAAAACTGTTGCCTCGGTGGGATAGAGGAAACAGCTGATCATTTTTTTCAGTCATATTTCTTTTTTTCTCGAATACGTAAAAGATTTGTTTTCCAGTCATATTTCAAGAGTTATTTGATTTTGCTTCAACGGAGCTCTTGATTTGGTGTTGGGACATAACTCCAGTTAATTTGAAGAGCGTAAAGATTACCATGTCAAACTTTTCATGATATATGACCGATAACTTTTCAGCTGATGATTTCTGTGGCCGCTACTGATACTGATTTATTGTGAGAGAAAAACATTGTTTCATAGCTGAAAAGTAGTGCTAATTCTAGCTGATAAGCTCAAGCGAACCGGGCGAAAATGGGGATCGAAAAAAAAGTTTTCCAAAGTCTACAAAGGAAGTATTCAATGAGATTTTTTGCTTTCTACAGAAACAGAAATGGCGCATTCTGTTGAAGGAACAAGACGCAAGGTAGTTTGGTGCTGTTGAGCGCTTTTCTGTGTTTGTTTTTCCTTTTGTGTCATGGTGTAGTGCGGCTGTTCTAGGCTGCTCGTGGGTTGGATCCTGGTTCAGCTCCAGATTATTTTGCTTCTTGTTGTAAGCTGCGTTTTTTTTCTGTTTCTTTAGCCTGTAACCGGATACTTTAAGCTTTATAAAAGTTGGCTTTACCTCTGTCAAAAAAAAGTGACAAAAATATTTTTGCACCATTCCCTTTCTCACTCATGCTGGTACAGCTGAGAGAGACCATCAGATGGTTGGCATCCGCTGGACGACAAATGGTCTGAATCATACAAATGGGCAGGAAGGAGATCAAATGCCTCCTACCCTGTTTCTTTGTGCCGTACGTGCTAAACGTGCCATGTCCCATGTCCAGAGTGCAGACTCCTGTGATGTGATGTGACGTGACATTGTCAACAAGAGACCCTAAAGTTTAGTCCCTATCACATCGAATATTTGACACATGCGTAGAGTATTAAATCTAGACTAAAAAATAACTAATTGCACAGATTGCGACTACTTTGCGAGATAAATTTTTTAAGCCTAATTAGTCCATGATTTTACAATGTGGTGTTACAGTAAAGATATGCTAATGATGGATTAATTATGCTTAATAAATTCATCTCGCGGATTCCTGAGGACTTCTATAATTTGTTTTATTATTACCATGCGAACACTCCCACCCTAAACTTTAGCTCCTTACTTTGTTTCTCTGGCTAGCAATGTAACACCCTAGGTGTTAGGCTTGCATAATTTCACTTGCATTGCATGAACATAATCATCAAGCATTCATATATAAGCTTCTACATGTGAAACGTATAATTGAAACATGTGAAACATGCCTTGTTATTTTATGTTTCCATATGTGTATGCTTATGATCATGTATGAATAAGTGCAAGTGGTTGATGTTGGTCACTAAAACACCTTAGCTACACTTAGGATGACTAATAGAACAATGTTCATGCAGATCACTTTATCTAATTAAGCTCCTAAGTGATGATATGCTTGTTGACCTACGAAGTACTTATGTGTGAACAATATATAAATGTGTGTGGAACCTTAGGAATACCTTAAACATGTTTAGAATGTCACTATAAACAACTTTAGTATTTATGACTAAGGCTAGTTTGGTCTCTAAGTCATAGATATAAAGTCATTATTTTCAAGTGGTATATTTGACCTAGGTTGAACTATATCATAGAATATTTGCATAGCTGTGTACCCTAAAGCAAAGTTGTAGAACTTAAGTAGTGTAACAACTTTTATTTTTAGGTCATAGGCTAGTTCAGCTCCTAACATGCTTGAATTTGGCTCACAAGAATCAACATTTCACTGATTTTGGAACTTGAAAATTTTTCTAAGTCATATTGAGTTGACAGTGTTGACATGGCTGACTTTGGGATGAATTAACTCCATAACCGTTGCGAATTCGGAGTTTAGTTCTAAAGCAATTTAGTAGCTGGTATGTAGCTCTACAAATTTGGTTTTAACACCGTGCACTAATTCGTCGTGGATCGAGAGCTTTAGCACCTTCATTTTGCTCTGTCAGTCGCTTGATCGGGCTCTGATGACCGCGTCGTCGCGTGCCGTGGTGGTCAACTGGGCGCAGCACTTGGCCACCGCATGGCCGCCGCCGGCCGGCGTCGGGCCCTCGTCGCAGCGTGCTGGCACGCGATAACTGAGACGCTGCACTGCCTATTTCGCTCACTCCCGCTCACTCTCTCCCTCTCCACTGCTCTCTCTCGCTCTCTCCGTGGAGAACCGAGCGCCGCCGAGCCACAGCGCCGCTCCATCGTCACCTAGCGCCCGCTTCGCCGCGCCATTACCTCCTCCATCTTACAGTTAGCTTTGCCATGTTGCCCTCTACCTCCTCGATGCGTTTGTAGTTCCAAACGAGCTACGGTGAGGGCGAAATCGTTGTTCTTGTCCTCGCCGGAAAGCTCGGCTTCCATGGCCGCCTTCACGACGAGCTCGCCACTGCTCAGCTCAGTCGCGCATTCCTTCGCATTCTTTGCGTTAGATCTTGGTCAGGGTGTAGACTAGCTAGTAGCATGATGTTACAGCAAGCCATTGCCTCGCATGCGCGGAACACGACGCGCAACGCCGCCGCGCTCTCACTACCATGCCTCCGCGCACGAGGACAAGACTCGTCGGCGTGTCCCACCTAGTCTAGGTCGTATCGTTAGATCCATGTAGTCACCGCAGAGCTCGTGCGCTTCTCGCCGAGCCTTGCCGTGGCTGGAGACGACCGCCGCACCACCGCGCAGCACCGCCGTGCCGCCATGGCTGGCGACGAGCATGCTCCGTTGCATCCGCGCCTCCACCACCTATGTGAATCGACGCGGCTTAGTGAGTAGATCACGTAGGTGTGGTCGGTTTCGCCGGAGGTCTCACCATCGGCGAGATAGCGCCGGTCAACCGTCGTGCCCTATTTTGGGTCGCTCACCAGTGGGTCCCCTCTGTCAGCGAGTTCAGTTAGGGTTTTTGTTACTTATTTTTCTAGATTTTTGTGCTAACTTTGGAAAATCATATCTAGAGCTAGGAATGTCCAATTTTGGTGAACTAAATTTTGTTGGGTTCCTTATAAAGTGTAGTATTTTATAAAAATATGAGATGCAGTGTTTCTAGTACTTTTCTAGGTGAATAAAATATATCTAAATAAGTGCTTTTTGAATGGTTACAATTTTGTAAAATGTGTAACTTGAGCTAGGAATGTGATAAAATTGTGATTCCAATTTTGCTGGTCTTGTGTTGACATGCTCTAGCTAGGAAAAATAATAAACTTACAGTAGATTTGATTGAAATAGGATCTTTCTATTTATCTATTAATAAATGGTGTTTTTAGAGGAAAATTATGGGGATAAAAATAAGTAACATATTGTCATGAAAATTTTTGTACAGTAGTATGTCACTAGTATGAAGTTAAGAAAAATATAGAATCTGTTGTTTGATACTTTTCTATAGGGTTAACTATTTTTACTAAAGTAAACTTTGCTAGCTTGTCATTTTTGTAGAGGATGTTATACATGTCCAAATAGTATGAAATATTTACAGTAGTCTATTGGGAGCACTTGAAAGCTACTGTAATTTTATGAGAATTTATTGTGGATATTTGGTATATGTTTATTATTTCCCCTAATTATCTAATTAAATTAATAAAGGCATTTAAATAAATAAATTGTGCTTGACCATGATATTTTCTATGGTGCTTGTGATGCATATGAAATGTTGATGTTAATAGTAAGGTTTAGAAGCAATTGGTTGTATACAACTAATTAATTATTGCTTTTATAATTCAAATAAATGGCTGCATGTATAGTTTTTGGTTGAGTGGATAAGTTCATGTTGATAGTGGTATTTTCTGTAAAACTTGTTAATAACAAAGTTGTAGATAACTTACTGATCTACCTTGTGTTAAATCTTCGTTGTCATAGGCCTTAGGGTTTAAGAGTTTTGGCTATTATAAGTTTTCTGCCCTAATTGTTTGCTCTCTAGATAGATTTGATTGACTGAATTATTTAACCTATGTAACTGTTGAATCACATCTAGGGCATTGAAAGAAAGTTATAGATAATTTCATAAGCTTTCCAGAATATCCACAACAATATTATTTTGATGTATATAACTGCAGTTATGATTAAAACAAGTAGCTGCTATCTTGTAGTCCAGAATATAATTTACAGAAGTGTTTGCTTTAGAGAAGATATATCACCTACTCAGTAGAATATGATGCACTTGTTATTACCTTAATACCATGCTATTGAAAATACTTACGAGGATGCATTCATCACATTTTATCATATTATACATGTCATCATACATGTATTCGCGATATCTTATTCCATGCTCATGCATATATAATCCACCGAGGAGATAACGTTGCTGGAATTCAACAAAGAGAGGAAGGGGATCTAATGGAAACGGGGATCCCGATCTTCCGTCAGGTGGTGGTAACTATCTTTGTGGCGGAGAATGACACCCCGATCCAACTTTAGATCGAAAGATCGAACCCTACAATCATAGCACCATAGCTCCTCTGGTTATCAACCAAGTCTCGGACCAAGTTGACCCCGCCAAGGAGGCTAATTCCTGCCTGCGCAACGAAGAACACAAGCAAGAATAAGAAAGAACACAACCAAGTTGCGGATGAATGACTAATCTCTCAAAGTTGGGGTCTCACAAACCGATGAATGGTGAAACTGTTCTTGACAGAATAATCTAAGTAAAACCCGAACCCTAATGGAGGAGCGACGGCTTTTTATGAAGACTCTAGGGTCGTGCAAGACCCCTGGACGCGTCCCTAATGGGCCTAAACACGATACATGGTCCAATGGACCAAAAGACGGTGTCGTAGCACCCTAGCAGATTCTAGACACTGTCTTGTGACCACGATTCCTGTTGATTCCAAATAGCTTTTGATGTGAGACCACTTGGATTGGCTTCCTTATCAAATTAGCTTTCCATCCATATGTGGATCGTCGAAAACGGAGTCCGGATGCGTCCTGGGTGACCAGTTTAAGGCAGACTGGTTCTGGAGGCCGAGGCAGACTCGAAATCATGTTGGATCGGACCTCCGGTTTCTGTTGGACGTCCTTGCTAGTCATCCTCTTGTCCACCATGTCCTCTAAGTCCCTTATGACCCTCTCCAATGTTCCTAAGTAAGATAACATCATTAGGTAGTAGTCTATTCTCGAAAGTATGAAAAGGATCGCTTAAGAACGAGCTCACCTCTAAATTGAGTTATCGCATTCGAGCCCGGGTCATTGGACCTTGCATGACGGTTGGAGGATCAGCAGGTGCCTCTGAAGAAGTGATGTCCTCATCATCCTCCCCCTCTTTAATTGGAGTCATCCTCGACTCAAGCTCATCTTCTTCTCCCAAATAAGGTTTCAAATCTGCAATATTAAAGGTGGGACTAACCCCGAACTCAGGTGGCAATTCAAGTTTGTAGGCATTATCATTTATTTTCTCAATGATCTTATAAGGACCAGCTGCTCTTGGCATTAATTTAGACTTACGTAGCTCAGGAAATCTATCTTTTCTCAAATATAACCAAACCAAATCACCCCGTTCAAGTTTAATCTCTTTTCTACCTTTACTACCAGCAATTCTATACTTTTCATTCATTCTTTCAATATTTGCTTTAGTTGTTTTGTGCACCTTACGAATAAAATCAGCACGCTCTCTAGCATCACTATGTATTCTCTCAGTGGTAGGTAAAGGCAAAAG